TCCATACACAGGCTTGGTCTGTTAGTAGGATCCTACTTGAATCCTTTCCAGTCTAGTTAAAACTGCCAGGGCTTATATGCTCTAGGCAAAGCCCATGAGCACCCGAGGTGCTCTCCCAGTACTTGGACTTAAGGCAGAGGCACAATAGGCTGGACCCAAATGCACTGGGAGGGTAGGTTGGATGGCACTGGAGAGATGACATGGTGACTTTAGGGATCTGCTTCCCAGCTCAAACACCCTTCTTCTCAGGGACCTCATATGTTTGGAGGCCTTGGAATATCACTAACTCCATGGGACGCCATGAGCCCAAAGGGCAGTGATGGAGAGATGCGTGATGGATGCCCTGAAGCCACAGCCTATTTCCAGGGATGGATGATATTCGAGGAATGAGGGCGGGGAATGTTTTTCATTCTTTTTTTTTTTTAATCCTCTCGTGCCAATTCTGCCACAAGGCCTTGAACATTGCAGGTACCAAGCAAATGTTTGTTGAATGAATTTTGGATTCTTGATGTAGTTCAAGTCTAGGAACCATATGATTCCATAAGGAGGTTGACTGATTACATGGTGGGAGTGAGGAATCAAAGATGGGCAGCCTGAAGTACTCAAGAAAGCCCCCTTCCCATGATTGGGTGGGAGATCGAGGGCAGAACATGGGCTGAACTCACATGTGGTGGAAGGACCCAGATGGGTGGAGACCTGCCCTGATGGGGAGGGGACATCCACACTGACAATGTGATATAAAAGATGGAGATCTCCAAATCTGAACTGAAGTCATGGTTCAGAGCAGCAATCTCTCTCCTCCTTCTCAAAGCCTCCAGGATCCTGTCTCAGCCGCCTGTGTGACCTTGGGCAGGTCTCCAGGCTTCATTTTCTGCATCTGGAGAAGTGAAGGGGTTGGAGGGGATTATTCCTGAGGTCCCCTCCTGCTCCTCATGACCCTGAGTCATCAGGCAAAGCTTAAATTGTGCTGGACACATTCTGCTGGAGGAGGCAGAAACATTCTTTAGAAAGAATTCTAGCCAAGCTGCTTAGAATGGAGGAAAAAAAGAAGGTTCAGCACTTAAAGAGATAAACCCTCAGCCTTCCAGAAAAATTCGTTTGGAGTAACCAGTGTTCCGCTGAATTCTGCCAAGGGACCTCCAGTCTCCAAGAAGTGCTTCTCAGACTTCCTGGGGAGGATTTGTCCCTCCAGTCTGGCTCTGGCCAGCCTCTTTCCAGGTTGATGGCCACCCGCTTCTCCCAGCTTGGGGACGAGCCGGGAGTTGGAGGAGCCATCAGCCCCTCCTTTGTCCTGTCCACCCACCCCAGGTCACAGGAGCCTTGGGTCTAGAGCTCAAAGGGACATAGCAGATCCCCAAGGCCATCCCCTCCCTCTCCACCCCTTCTTACTGATGAGAAAAGCTGAGTCTCAGAGTGGGGCAGTGACTTGCCTTGTTTCCAGTAATCCCCGATTCACTACATGATGAGAAATTGTTGTTTTTGGTTGCACCTCCATCCCGTGTCCAGTCCAGTTGACCTCAAAGGGTCTTGGAGGTGGATGAACAATGGGGCTGGCACCATGAGGATGGGGGGCTCTTTGGTACATGATGTAGACTTGAGCTAGGTTCTCTCTAAGGGCTCCAACTAGACAATCTTTGGTATAGCATGGCAGTGGTGGAGTGTGGGCTGAGTGGAGAGATATGGGGCTGGACAAAAAGGGGCCCATGTCCTTCAGGTCCCCCTTCCCTCCACAGTGTGAAAGGGGGAAAGTGAACATTTCACAGCTGTCTTCCTGTCAGTCATCGTCTTCACTCTCCACAGTCTGACAGGTCAGAGGGCAATGGTAAGAGATCTATATTGGAATCATAATGTTGCGGTTTCCTGGTGTGTTGTGGCGGCATCGTCTCAAAGAATCCAGAGTCAGACCACCTCTAATCCAAATATAGGCATTTATTGAGGATTGGTGCCGCCAGAAATGGGCTAGGTTTCAAGAGGAACCAGCAACTTAGTAAGACAACACAGGCAAATTTGTAGTGTAATGATGCTGATTATGTAACGGAAATTATGACTACTAGAAAGACAAGAGGGGTTTGTCAAGGTATTGGGTAATGGGGAGGGATCCCATCTATGGTTTGGTGGTCAGACTTCCTGGTTGGGCTGCTTTCTGATTGGCTAGCTGTTGTGGGCCTGTCTGGTCCAGATGGGTAGTTAGGTACTGTGGTCCTGTCGTCGGCCAAATGGATGGTGTGATTGTGGCTGAGTACAAGAACACACTTGTTCAAATATGTGAACTGGATCTGGGGGCAGTGGCTATACTGAGTCTGGGGGCAGCTTTATTAGGATTCCATCAATAGGACCTCAGTTCGAATCTCAGCTTGGCCACTTCCTAACTGTGATCTGGGGAAGATCATTTTAACCCTTTAGGACTCCATTTTCTCATCTGTAGAATCGGGGCTGGACTGAGTGGCCTCTCAATTTCCTTCTGGTTCTAAAAGTGGATCCCATGACTCAACTCCCCTTGACCTCAGATCAATATTTCCAAGTGAGTCATTTCCCAGAAACATTCACAGGGGGTAGAATGACTTCCTGAGGAAGTGACAAGCCCCTATTCTGTGGGCAGGAATGAGACTCTGCAGACAGTCCTGGGAAATGGGCTTTCTGACCTAGCACACTCCTTGTTCTGTTCATCTGCCTTTTCTGCTTTTTGTTTTAACTTTCAAGTGTCGAATCTTCCAATCCTGACCTATTTTCTTGTTAAAGAAACTATTTCCCTATGACCAGGATGGTAATGAAAAGGAACCTGGAGAGTTTAATTAGTGATAATAATACCTATTTACATCTGTATGGAGCTAGAATCAGAGGCCCTGGTTTGAGGCTCTGACATGCCCCAGCTGCATGACATTGGACAAGCCATGTTGCTGCTCTGTGCCTCAGTTTCCTAATCTGTAAAATGAGGAAGTTGGACTCAATGGTCTCAAAGTCCGTGATCCTATGAGGACACACACACACACACACACACACACACACACACACACACACACACACACACACACGAGAAATCAGACAATCATCTAATTAACTTATTGTTGGGTGGAGGAAGGACAAATGACTCTCTTGCTCCCCCTCTCCTCCATACCATTTATACCATTTTCCTTTGGAGATGCTCTGATAGCAGGTACTGCTGCCTTCCTGAGATCTCTAAATCCTCCGGGGCCAAAACCTATGACAGCCTTTCCCAACCCTGACTGACTCAGCCTTTGGAGAAATCCGCTAGCGCCCAGGCTCGCCATCCTGATCTCTGCCCTTGCTCCCGGAGATCCATCCCCACAATGGGATGCGGAGCTGGGGAACCTGAGTTTTAGAATGTTACATTGTCTATGTTTTGTTGTATTTGTATTTATTTTATTAAATAGCGTATTTTCCAGTTACATTTTAGTCTGGTGTGGGCTACACTTGGGAGTGGTGGGGGCCACCTGTTTGAGGTGTGTGGTGTGGACAGTGAAGCAGCAAAAGAGACTGAGAAGGAATGATCCCCCAGGTAGGAGGAGAACCAGGAGAGAGCGCGGTGTCATAAATACACAGAGAGAAGGCAGTGTCCAGGAGGAGGGGTCAAGGGTGTCAGCCACCGCAGAGAGGGAACGAGAAAAGACCGTCCAGTTTGGCAAGTGGGAGACGGATGGTAACCTTGGCCAGAGCTCTGAGTGATGAGGTCAGCAGACAGATTGGAGAGGACTGAGGAATGAGAGGGAAGGAAGGAAGGAAAGAGAGAAGGAAGGAGGGAGGGAAGGAGGGAGGGAGGGAGGGAAGGAAGGGAGGGAGGAAGGAAGGAAAAAGGGAGGGAGGAAAAGAAGGAAGGAAAGAGAGAAG